ACAATGCAAAATATTTCATTATAATGCTTAGTGAAGAAGATTAAAGATATTCTTAATGGTGGCATACAGTGTCGCACTAATAATCACGGTGTTTATGAACTTAAGACTCTTAGTAATAAGCTATACAAGAGGTTAAACTGTAGTGGTTACTTCATTATATATGATTGCATCCTGCCACAATCCACACTGGCTATTTAGTGTATCTTCACAAACCAACATCAGTCAGACAGCCACTGAAAGTCTCCAAGCACTGGAAAGTTTTATTTTCAATGGTCCTCTAAGTGATGTTTGTTTGTAGCTAAATCAAAATCAAATTAAAATTAATGTAAATCCGTATAAATTCCAAATTTCAACTTAATTTAACGTTCGGAACGTAAACATTAATTAGAAAATCTGGAAACTTAACTTGGAATTCCATTTTAAATTACCACAGCCAGTGGTATATATCATTCATCTGTTAGTAATGATGGTCTATCAGACTCTTTATTTTGTTGCATTCATGAAGTTGTTTTCAAATGTATTACCTTTATTCTCTGTTCCTATCAGGTTAGTTTTGAATGCGCCTTACCGTATAACAGTCGCATCAAGTCATTTATATTTCCTACGTATCATATAAAATAATTTTCGTACTTCTGGTAGATCGATGAGCACACTCTAATTTGCAGGAAATTTGCTTTTTTCAGTAATTACTATTTAGATATTATCGAATGTCAATAAGGCGAATCGTCCATACATTTTGGTTTATGTAGTTACGAAATACACCACTGTCGCCATGTTTTATAAACTAATCATTCTGTTGTATAACAGACAAATTGCATAAAGAACAAGTAAGCTGTTGCCGGAAGCAAATTACATATTAAATTTATAATAAGCTACCTTACTCCACCATGGTAGAATTTCCCTTGCTGATTTGTAATCCATGAAATTGGTTTATAGCAGTCTGGAATTGTTATATTTCAAATTATTAATAACATCAACAAAGTAACGGTTTAGGAGTACCACAGTCGGGGTGTGGAACCTCAGACCACAAATGGTGCGGTCGATGAGCAATTTTTCACTGCATTTTCGATCATTTATTAAAGGCTTTTGTATCACTGTCGTCAATTTTCAAACGAATCATTCCCTTTTATAGCAGACAAATCATATAAAATGTGAATAAGCTATTGCTGAAAGCAAATTATATAATAAATTTGCCATAAGCTGCCTTTTTCCATCATGATGGAATTTCACATAGCGATTTGGAATGCATGAAATTGGTCTATAGCAGTCTGGAGTTATTGTATTTATAGGTAATAAAATACGATAATAGAAATACAGGCTTTGATCGACTAGCTATGCGTTGATATTAAAAATTCTAATTCAGAAAGTGGGTCTCTATTCCATTTGCAAATTTTCGTCAGTATTATTTCTGGCCATATAGTAGATAATCATTCACTCATATTTGAGATAGTAAATTGAAATAGACTTTAGACACTTTTTACTAATCAAAAACGACTGTGTTTATAATAAAACTGATTAAACTTTGATACAAATACTAACAATTTATTACAATTCCCAATGACACATACACATAAAGCCACTTTTAAAACTTCAAATCAGATTACTGATGAGTGCAGAAGAAAGTGAAGGGAAAAGATACATGTCAAAAACTAAACTTAGTTCCAGATGGTTCAGACTGGTTCTATTTTATTAGCTTTTAATTTTCTTTTTCTGAAAGAACGGTTATTTTATTTAGTTTTCAACAACTTGTGTCGTTGGTATCTGGATAACTAATCGCCAAGTTATAACTGCCTAAAATCTATCATTATCAAATATGGTAAATACATAGTATTCAGTCTTATACTTGATTTGCAATAAGCAATTTTCGAAAGAAAAGAGTGTTAAAACTATTCTAGGACAATTAGTGGCTAGTTTGTGCTTTGTAAGTTCAAGAGAATGTTATTTCGTTCATGTCACTAACCACAGTCAGACTCTTTGCTCACTAGATACTTTGTTTCTCTTGATGGCTAGGAAAATCACCACAATATGATGCTTTAAAGAGTAATTGAAATAACCTAATGGTTATTAAGATATAACTGATTATAATAATGGCTATATTCTGAACAATGTAGAGAGTTTTCGGTGGCATTTATTGCGCAATATTTTCTAAACGCCAAAAATCTACAAGTAAAATAGTATTTACAAGTAGGCTGCATGACGCAATGCTGTCTGGCCTGATGCACAAACCACCCCCTTGTGATACTTCTTCTTTGTCTCCTTCAGGAAACTTATGACATGTGGTGGAAAGCGAATTCGAAAAAGTAAGGGGTATATTTTGAGACCCATGAACATAACCGAATAACTGGAGACTGTGGGTTGTTAGTTATATTTCTCAAGCAATGTCACTTTGTACTATGAATCTCAGAAACAGCCATTACATGTATTGGGATATGTCGCCATACAGTCTGAAGAAGACTTAAATATCCTTAAGAGAAAGCAATACCATTGGAGGTCATATTTTAATATATTAAAACAAGGTTTACTAAGGGAATTCTATACAATATAGTGATGAAGGCTTTTTGTAGCCTAAGTTTTAAGCAGGCCACTAAAATGATATGAAAGAAGTGTGACGAAAAATCGCGGAAAGACTAGTATCTAGGCTTTAGTAACTCTCGGTAAAGATTTATTAGAAATATTTGAACATAATTAAAAGTTCTTGTCTACATATCACTTCAAAAAAGTAGTCATACATGTTATAAGAGTGTACCTAACAGCCATTTTCATGAGGACTAAGAGAGAACAACATTTTGGGTATGGGACATGATAAATAAATCGTGTGTCGTCTTATAAATACTTTCCTGCCCACTTCCTCCCACTAAGTAAAGATATAATCCTCTTATGTAGTGATAATATCAGAAACTAATACAGACTAAGCATAATATACGTAGTATATGGTCTAACTTTCATCCTCTGCTTTTTTATAAGTAGTCTTAAAGTCTACGCATCGAATACAGAATAAAATGGGAGACAGATTTGTTTCGGCTATCAGACTTACTGAATTCATCTGGGGTATTTAAATCTAACTTTTAACCGAAATATAAATGCATTCAATAGACAGTGAATTAAATAATATTGAAACTAGCACAAATCAATTTATGTAAGCCTCAGAGTACGTCGCAAAAGGCGAAGACTACTTTACCATTCTTTATCTAAGAAGTTTCAACTTCTCTAAGACAAGAACTTAGTAATATATTAAACGACCGTTGCATAAATTAGGTGGTCTTATAATGATAGAAAACGTTTTAATTATACTTGAATAGTGTCTTGGCCAAATCTCGTAATTCTGTAATTTTTCTGTATTATTCCATTACATAACTTAGCATTTACGGTGCTGTACACATAAGTTTCATTCATAAGGTTATTAGTTGGCGTACGTACGAAAACTTAATGTTCTTATAGAGCAATTTCAAGCATTTTTGAGTCAGATTTTCCTATACGCTTTTTGAGCCATGGGTATTGATTCAAAGTCTAGACAGGATTTAACCATGAGTATTATTGTTTGCTTGTCTTTGAATTTTAGCAATGGAAATATACGGTGGTATCCTGCAAGTAGATGAGGTTCTTAAGAAAGCTGAATAGATAATTCAGGATAAATTTTATCTATGGCCAGGTAAGGTTTTTAATGTCTGTTTCTTAAGGCGATTCCATATTAGATTGTTTATTAGATATATCACACAGTGAAACAGTATTATTTTCTGGATGACGTTTCGAACACAATTCACTAATTTTTATAATCATACCAGTTATTCTTAAGTGAAATTGTAAAAAATCACAGTTTATATCTGTACTAGATTAGTTATATATGTCAGAAAATGCAGATTGGTCAAACACACTCTGAAGATGCCATTGAGTGACATCCACTGTCTCGAGGGGAACACGAGTGGGAAATGAATAGTTGAGTGTGTGTTTGAGGGTGGCATTTTGGAGATCGCGTGAGGAGGAAACGAAAGCGTATATGGGGAATCATCAAGCCGACTAAGAAGGATTGTAGAGAACAGAGTCAAATGAAGACTAGCTGATGAAGCTCTATGCTTCACTGGGAACCTTAGGAAACAATAATTATAATAACCAAAAACACACACTGAGTCATGAAGACAATAAAATAAATAAATAAGATAATATTAATAGAATCTTCATAAATTTATTCCCCTTTATGAGTTTGAATAAAGCAAAAATCACGGTATGTGCAGAACAAGATGGTAGCATAATTTATTTCGCTGGCTGCTCATTAGCCGCGTACAGCCTGTAGAAATTATAAAATTTATGTACAGAACAATTTTAACGCTCACACGTTACATGATGCTTAAAACAGTGCCATTGTCAAACATCTCATCAATATGGGTTATGATGTGGAAGTCATGAAATCCTATAAAACCAACTGACAGAACAATTCAATTCTCCTAAAACATGCCTAAGCATCAACCGCGTGAAAACCGATTTATATGTTCAGAGTTAAATTCGCTATAGTGCTACTCAGTTATTGATTTACTCATCACCTAACTCACGTCTTGTGATTACTAGTTAACTGCTTTACCATTTATTCTTGTTAAACTTGAACTCTGTGGACAAAAACTATACAAGTGTAATTTTCTGAGCACTGTTTATTACGTTTGCAGCCTCCTGTCAACTGACATCATGTGACATTTGCAAGCATGTTAAGCCTGTTCTCTACATAAACTTAATAATTACCTTGGACTGTACGCATCTAATGAGTAGTCAATGAAATAAATGATGGTGCCATCTTACTCTGTGCAAACTGTTATTCTCGCTTTATTCAGAATAATATGGATCGAGTATTACTCAGCACTTTTAATCTACTAAACAGATGACTTAATAACTATTTAGTATGTCCTTAAAATACCATGTAATGAATAGAAATTGCCTCCCAAAAAATTTAAATCATTCGAAAAAGAAAACTGTCATAGATACAATTACACAGAATACACATTCAGTAATCTTACCGTTCAATAGTACTTTTAATTGTAAAATCAAAAAGGATAACAAATTTCTCTTCTTATACCCTCTATAACTAAAGAAATGAAAGCACACCCACGCAGTGATATTTTTATTACCCCTCATCATTTTCCTAACTGTCATCACCACCACCCCGTCCACGACTACCACCACTCCAAGTTAGCTAACCAGGATAGTTCGAGTATTACCACGATTGTCACTAATTTGAATAAATGCCTATTTAGATAGTAGTTATAGACAAAAGGGATAGTTTTTTGAGATGTATTTTGTAAAATCTATTAATTTGATTGGATAAATAAGTGAAAAGAAAAATCATATATAAATATCCTTTTCATTCTCCTGTTGTTTTCCTACTTATTATTATTATTGTTGTAGGAACGTTCATCAGCTATAGCTGAATGAATAAAGTAATCACTATGGAATAATGTCTTCAATTAGGAGCGAATTTTTATAAAATGGGATATTACTAATGATTAAAAAGTGCTAACAGGGAAAGATAGGAAACTTTATATATCACAGTATGAGTTAAATAATACTTTGGATTTATTTTAATGTAGATTTCATTAAAAACCAACAGAATTTAGAGATTATAAAAACCATAAAGCACTAGACAGCTATTTCATCTTAGTTCAGGAAAGAATCTGAATACCTCCGGAAACCCATAAAGTAGCTGTCTATTTCTGGTTCATCGACAGCTACTGGATGGATGTCCTGAAACTGTACTAGGAAGTCTTGACCAGTGGGATCCACCACGTCAAGGTGAAGTGGATGCTTAGATAAAAGATTAGTTGTGGGTAAAGTACATATCAGATTTGGCGGATGATTCAAATTTCGGCTTAATTAGCTAAATGGATATTGAGTGAGGCCTCTTAATTTAAAGGTAATTAGTTCGAATCCTTGTTGGGTCATGAAACAGAACTGCTGAAGAGCCACAAAAAGGCTGTCTAGGGCTCCACTGGTTTACAGATATCACTAAATGATGTGTACATTTGCTTGATGTTTAAACTTGAAGTATATCTCATAACCTTATGGCGAAGTTATCACCATCAACCTAATCGGGAAGTGAGGAAGTTTCAGGCTACATTACTAATCACTTAAATGCTTGTTAATCACGTATGTTATTGTGTAATTTCTTCTAATTACATCTTGATGTGTTTAACTTCCACTTATTCGATGGGTGTGTAATGTTCATCACAAAGTGGTTAGCTAGATTTTTAACTCGTTTTTACTGTGACGTTTGTATTTTCCAAATCAAATGGGATCCTTCGACATTCATTCAAAATCGAGTGGGAGGAAGAACCAAAGAGTCGTGTAGTGTTTCTGTGAGCGGCTATTCTCTGAACACAATGCGGTGACCCGAAAATTCAATAGGAAAATGCAGACTCTCTGTGTGGTAAGGGAATTACTTCAACAGTCTACAACTATGCAAATGAAAAGACTGGCAAAAACTGGAGAAAATTACTGAAGTCAAAGTCGACATCATTAATTCCACTAAAGTAGCATAAGCGTCGTAAAGCTTTTGTCAATAAGTTCTTCTCACTCAGCAGACAGAAGCGGAAAAGACATCTCTAGCAAATTAGTGATTGAGAATGCTGTTGTCTTTGTATGTAATGAAGCGGTTAGGTATACGACTAGTTTTATTCTATGAGTGTGTGTGTGTGTGTGACTGAAACCCGAGTTTTACAAAAGAAAAATTAGGAGTATAATTTAGAAATGTAAACTAGTCAAGAATATTTATTCATAAGTTAGGTATGCCATGAAAAATAGGTTTCTATAGTCAAACAAAAAATAAATTTACAATTATTCCTAAAAATGGAAACACAGTTCTGACTGAAAATAATTATGAAGGAAATGGCTGATGCATATGCATATATATGCTGAACATTTATTGCTAAATCCTTCACGCAGCAGGGGAACTTCTCATACTACTTTAACGTTTATGCAAATTTTTCTGCCGTAGAAATCTGAGTCTAAATACCAGATCATCCGAAGTCGCTTTTGTTTTGTCCTCACCTAGTGAATCTGTCTTTGAACTATGTATTGAGAGAGTGAACATTTAACCAAAAAACTGCCTGCAAAAGCGTCTAAGATAATGTTCTTGAATATTTATATCGGTTTATGATGACATAGGTAGAAATACGCGTCTAGACTGTATTATGTATATCTAGTACATGAACGGTGACAAATACTTCATCTTTTCACCGAATTAAAAAATTAGCTGTCATGGACAAATTGAAAAGGTACGTTGTCAATAAATAACAGAACACAAATGTGAAACCTAGGAATAGATCATTATTTTGTAAAAGAGATGAATTCATGCCTAGGTATTTTGGTAATCGGATAACATTTGATTGGGCTTTAGTAACTAGTGTGACGTGTCTAGTCCTCTCTTTGGTGCAGACTGAATTGTATCAGTCAGGTTTGTAACGTGGCCACCATTCTAGGTAGCTCGCCATCACGGTACACATTGATTTGGGGATATTAGATAGTTGGAGGTAATCGGTGGGAAGCCTTAGACTAAGATTTCGCGCTAGTTGGCACTCGTCAGCAAGGCATATCTGCAACCTTGAAAGAATTCATAACCTGAGACTCGAACCCGCGTCACCTAATGCTGCAGTCAGAGACTTTACCACTCAGCTATTCAGGCCCGCGATTAAACTCCTGTAGGAGTGTGGTAGGTATTTTGATTTGACACTAGTTACCAGTGTTACGTGTCTAGTACTTTGTTTGGTGCAGACCGAAGAAGAAGAAAGGGTGAGTGATTATATGTAGGGATAGTGAGAAATGTCATCATATGACATGTAGTCCAAGTATTGGATTTCCCAAATATTATAATTATAGAGTAACTTACCTGTTAGTAAAGACAGCTCTAACTTTGCGTCACTGTGATGAAAACTTACTAGGGTAACGCTTTATTTGTAACTTCTAATATTCAGAAACGAATTACATCAAGTAACTGAATTATCTGCGAAGAAAATGAGGATTATATTTATGCAATGAGTTGGCTTTATAAATGTATCCCTCAGGTTGATGAATAATTCAAACATTTCGGTGCTATCTTAGTTTCTATTAGATTCCTTTTCAGAAATCCAAACTCATGCCTCTAAAAGCAGGCTATTTTATTATGCATTAAATGTTTGCATACATATATTTATGCATCTTCCGAAATTCACATAATTGCCATAAACTTAAGTTGGTTTGTTTTTCTGACAGTCACTTCCAATTGAATTAACCTTATCTGCTGTGTATCACTTTCAGAATATTTAATCTGTTCGAGTCGTTAAACGGTGATAAACTAACTTTTGGAACTGCTTTATGTACACTAAATATTCTTACTTTCTCACTCCAGTGAAATTAGGTTTCCCACTGTATTAGCAATATTGTCTTACTTGGATTAGATGTGTTGATAACTAACTTCATGGGTGGGAATATTTCTGTGTTAGTTTTTCTGTTTCTTCTTTGTGCTAATTACAAATTGACGTGAGCAGTATAGCAAGCAGCGTCTTTGTATAAGCAAAGAAAATTTGTCTGTCATTTGAAGAGCTTGTGAGGAAGAGACGTGAGGAGAATGAAAACATAGTAGAATCCAGTAAGGAAAATGGTGAGATCAATGTGTGTTTTATCAATTCTTCAGTGCTTATTGCATTTTGTCGTTGTGAAAATTATTACCTAGACTGGTAGTAATAATGCATAAAAGAGTAGTTTGTTGTCACGGAATTTGTTATGAGTAACTTCTTATTTGGAGTTTCTACCCTACTCAGCTTTTCGTCATAAACTCATCAAAAACTTTTACTGAGTGGTAAGCATGCCTACAGGTTTATGATGAGTTGGATTTCGTAGCGGATCCAGGATGCATAACTAGGATCTCAGTCTACGTGACTATGAATGAAGTCCGCATCTCCAGAGAGAAAGATAGAGATCAGATAAGTAGTATAAATTAATAGAAGAAAAATTTATAATTAAATCGTTTTTCTAAGACATTATAGTCTTTAAAATTGCTTCATTGTACAACTATGTACTGTAACTATTCTGCATTTAGTGTGCATTCAATGGAAGACGATCCTCCTTATTGATTTACTATTTTGTCTGATTACTATAACGCCTATTGGGAGTTTCTGTTCCGACGTTCAAGATTCCAAATTTGACCATTATATTTGCTGAATATTTGCATGAAGGCGTAGCAATAATAATGAACTTGTAACAACATCTCAGAAGTTTTCTGAGGCACTACATTACTGATGCACAGATGCATACTATGTTATTTCAACAGGTGAAGAAAAGGTGAGTGATCATGTATAGAGATGCTGAGTAATGTAATCACACAACATATAGTCCAAGTATTGGATTTCCTGCATATTTTAATTTTGGAATGTGTGAAAGCGGCTGTCATTCAGCAGATTTGTAACCAGTATAAAGTAGATTATGTCAGTTGAAAAGACCAGTGGACTGAATTGTTTTGGATTATTTAACTGATAAATCCCTATGAAGAATTCGAAGTTGTAATTCTGTATATGAACTCACAGTATAAAAGACGACTACCTTTACTACTTGGTACCAAATGACATTATTTTTGAAATATTGGATTTTATATAGATTGAAGAAGTGAATAAGTACTTCTTCATTCGTTTAATCATGTTGCAGAAAGGGAAAGATTGGCTTCATTGTGGATAAAGGTTAGCATCTGATATCCTTAACGCCGACTACTCACTTACGCGTCATCAGCTAGGAGTAAAATCCATAATTCACGTTCAATTATGCATGCTTATGTTCTCAGATAAACTGTATGTCAGCACCTGATTATCAGAAATTGCGCATCTTGGATTCCACTACTATCTTCAACTAAAAATACTGTTCATAATATCTACTTAAAGAATATATTTGATATGTTCTGATATATTATTTGTTGGCACAATTCAGCAGTCATGAGTACTTGGAATAAGTTAATTCAAATTTTGAATAAGTTGTGTTCCCTGGTCTAGTTGATTTAATGGTGAAGCTTTCGTCGTCCTTTTAGACATCAGCTTCAACACAGGTTTTAGTATGGAATGAAATCATTTGTATTCTCTATGACTGCTTTAATTGTGTATCCTGACAACCATTGTGCTCAATAGTTGTTGATTTACGTCTTTCTTTGAATCATTTTTATTGACTAGGAATTCGAACTTTCTTTTCGTGTGATTTACTTTT